TCTCAGTCCCCCCGGCCTCCAAGGAAGGCTAAATAGCAGTTTGGTAGAAAAAGACGTGGGGGTTACAGTGGATGAGAAGCTGGAGATGGGTCAACAGGGTGTCCTTGTAGCCAAGAGGGCTAATGCAATATTAGGTTGCATTAGGAGGAGCATTGCCAGCAGATCCAGAGAAATGATTATTCCCCTTTATTCAGCTCTGGTGAGGCCACATCTGGAGTATCGTGTCCAGTTCTGGGCCCCCCACTAAAGAAAGGACGTGGACGCATTGGAGAGGGTCCAGCAGAGGGTGACCAAAATGATGAGGGGGCTGGAGCACATGACCCATGAGGAGAGGCTGAGGGATTTGGGCTTGTTTAGTCTGAGCACAGGCCTCAGAGTTCCTTCAGGAAGTTGAAGGCTGCTCTCCAATCCCCCCTCACTCTTCTCTTCTTCAAAGGGACCCCCCAAGACAGCCAGCTTCCCTGCTTGCTTGCCTACCTCGATGAGGGACAGCAAAGCATTTTGTCTCTGCGTGTGCTCACTTGGGACACCACAGCACTCTGCAACATGGAGCCAGAGCCGCCCCTGGGCACTCTGTTGCTTCTCTTGGATGTGTTGCTTCGAGCCTGGCTTCACTTTCTGCGGGCTGCCATCCGGATGGTCCATCGGGGGGCTGTCAGTATCCAGGAGGCCCTGCGGGAGAGCATCTACCCTGAGGAGCACTAAAAGCTTCCCTGGTCTTCCCTACTGGGGGCTTGTGCCTCATTCCTCCCTCACGTTCTTCCACTTACCCCTCCCTAACCCCCCTTCCTGATGTCAAACAAAATACACGTATTTTCATGAACACAAACTCTCTTTATTTAACAAAACTGGGGGGAGGGATGAAACTCTGGGGAGACTGGGGAAAGGAGGCGGGAGAGGAGAGAAGAGAGGGTGGGAGAGGGGAGGGGGAAACCTGGGAGGAGGGAGTTGGAAGGGGGAAGCAAGGGGAAGAAGGGGGAGGGGAAGCTCAGGGCTCAGGGTTGGGGGTCTCACCGAACCAACTTGACTTTCATGCTAACCTGCTCCTGGGTTCACATGTGGCCTTTGGTGTCCAGGCTGGCAGCTACCCTGCCATAGACGGCCAGGTTCCTCCATCTAATGCGGAGATCAAGGATGTTGGGGGCATCCCCCCGAAACTTCAATAAGGTCCATGATCTCCACCCTGAACCGGAAAGTCACCCATCTTCTCCGGGACCTGTCAGGCTCCTGGGAGCTGGCAGACTGCTCCTGGGGAGCGGTGGAGGGCTGGCTGGCAGTGGCTTACTGGCTCCTGTTGTGGGGCCACTGGGTCAGGGGCAGTGACTGCTGGCTCTGGGCTGACAGGTTTGGGGCACTGTGGCCAGAGTCTACCCCTTTAAGGGCTCTGGTGAGTGGGGTGGGAGAGGAATGTTCTTAGTTGAGGCTGGAGTGGCCACCAGGGCACCCTGGGAAGGCTGGAGGCCCCCTATTTCAATATTAGTGTCTACACAGCACTTATTTCGAATTTGGCATTATTCCTCGGAGAATGAGGTTTACCAAATTCAAAATAAGTGCTTCACTACTTCAGATTAATTTTGAAATAGCAGTTTGGCTGTGTAGATGCTAGTAAAGTCATTTTGAAATAACAGCTGTTAGTTCAAAATAAATTTGCTGTGTAGACATACCCTCGGTCATGTGCTCCAGCCCCAAATAATTTTGGTTGCCCTCCTCTGGACCCTCTCCAATGTATCCACAACCTTTCTATAATGGGGACCCCTGAACTGGATGCAATACTCCAGAAGTGACCTCACCAGAGCTGAATAAATGGGAATAATCACTTCTCTGGATCTGCTGGCAATGCTCCTCCTAATGCACCCTAATATGCTATTAGCCTTCTTGGCTACAAGGGTCCACTCTTGACTCATCTCCAGCTTCTCACCCACTGTAACCCCCAGGTCCTTTTCTGCTGAACTGCTGCTTAGCCAGTCGGTCCCCAACCTGTACCAATACTTGGGATTCTTCCACCCCATGTGTAGGACTCTGCACTTGTCCTTGTTGAATCTCATCTGATTTCTTTTGGCCCAACCCTCCAATTTGTCTAGGTCACTCTGGACCCTATCCCTGCCCTCCAATGTATCTACCTCTCCCCCTAGCTTCATGTCACTGGCAAACTTGCTGAGGGTGCAATCCATCCCCTCATCCAGGTCATTAATAAAGATGTTGAACAAAACTAGCCCTAGAACCGACCCTTGGGGCGCACTCTCCTTGAAGCCAATGATTCTTTCCTCAAACTACAAAGGAATTTGAATCTTCCTCATGTTAATAATAGGCAAGGTATTACAGTACACGATTCAAAGTGTGATAAGTGCTTTAACAAAGAATTTTCATTTTCTTCGGCCTACAAAATAGAATTGACATTGGTTCAAGTTTTCTATTGTAACATTCCCTTTGATCTCTTTCTTTGCCTTTTCAGTCAGTTATTCTCCTGTCTCCATTACTTTCTCCTGAGAATCAGTAGTTTTCCATAAATTCCCCTTCGCCATTAGCAATGAGTTGGTGCTTATATCGTTGTTTTCACCTTCTAAAAACAAATAATAACGTTCCCTCTAGTCAATAATTTCAAATTCCCACCAGCAGAAACATCAAGGGAGGTTACATCATCCTGTAGGAAGAAGACATTTCCAACCACAGGGTCACTGATCACCAAGTGGGGGATGATTTTCTCTGAAGGCCTATTTTCCCCCTAATGGCTCATTACACTGAATAGATTCTTCCCAGACAACTGTCGAGACTTGCAAGTACCACACCTGGTGGGAATTCCTCGGGTGGAATTACACTGGACACACAAATACCTAGTTAATATTCACACCTTCAGACACAAAAAATGATGCCCATATTTTTCTTCTCAAAATCATTTGGTTTCATTACCTTTCACATGGAGGATCTTGTATCAGCTGCAGACTAACTCTAAACCTTCCTTTAGACGTTCTGAGATCGGATTTTAGTTTTTCCAAAATATTATCCAGCCACTGCTACCACTGACAGTGTCCAGTTATCTCAGTCAGCTGTGCTTTGCACTCCTACCTGGATGTCTGGATCCAACAAAGTGTATTTTGCTTTTATTCTCTATGGGTATGTCTACACTACCCCGCTAGTTCGAACTAGCGGGGTAGTGTAGACATACCCATAGAGAATAAAAGCAAAATACACTTTGTTGGATCCAGACATCCAGGTAGGAGTGCAAAGCACAGCTGACTGAGATAACTGGACACTGTCAGTGGTAGCAGTGGCTGGATAATATTTTGGAAAAACTAAAATCCGATCTCAGAACGTCTAAAGGAAGGTTTAGAGTTAGTCTGCAGCTGATACAAGATCCTCCATGTGAAAGGTAATGAAACCAAATGATTTTGAGAAGAAAAATATGGGCATCATTTTTTGTGTCTGAAGGTGTGAATATTAACTAGGTATTTGTGTGTCCAGTGTAATTCCACCCGAGGAATTCCCACCAGGTGTGGTACTTGCAAGTCTCGACAGTTGTCTGGGAAGAATCTATTCAGTGTAATGAGCCATTAGGGGGAAAATAGGCCTTCAGAGAAAATCATCCCCCACTTGGTGAACCTTTCTAAGTACAGACCAGAGAGCCTGTAATTAATGGTTAGTGGGACTCTCCATGGGTAGGTGAACAGGTCCCGTGTCTCTCGTCTCCATCTGGGGATGTCTGTATTTTTCCTTATATACATGCTACAGCTATACAAGGCAGGGAGTAATCTCATTGATTCTTCTTCACTCCACACACACGAGGACCCCTGGAAAGACCTGATAAAACAAAGACTGAGCTGGGGGAAGTGCCGGATCCAGGCGACAGCGATTTCTAGCTTGTGCATGGAAACCCGACCAAAAAAAACTATAGCTTGCACCTTGAGAATCTACCGCTTTGCTGGTGTCATCACTCAGGGTAAGAAACTGCCCGTGTATTGTCAGTCTAATCAGTGTGTTAGATCAGAGCAGATTACTAAGGCCGTGTCCAGACTCAGGGTTTTTTTCAGGAAAAGTAGCCTTTTCCCGAAAAAACTTCCCCTGCGTCCAGACTCAAGCCGCGTTCTTTCGAAATTATTTCGAAAGAACGCGGCTTTTCTTTCGATGGCGGTAAACCTCATTTCACGAGGAAGAACGCCTTCTTTCAAAAGTTCCTCTTTCGAAAGAAGGCGTTCTTCAATGTAAAGAGGCCGTCTTCGAAAGAGAGCATCCAGACTCGCTGGGTGCTCTCTTTCGAAAAAGCGGATTTCTCTTTCGAAAGATCTGCCTGCAGTCTAGACGCGATCTTTCGAAAGAGGCTCTTTCGAAAGATGCTTTCAAAAGAGGCTCTTTCGAAAGAAGCCTGCAGTCTAGACATAGCCTAAGAAATGCACAAAACCACAAACTGAGCATGTTTGCTGTCCCTTCCAATCGCTGAAAAAAATGTGGTTAAGAAACTTGTTTGTTTCCAGTTCTGGGCCCCCCATTACAGAAAGAATGTGGACACATTGGAGATGGTCCAGCGGAGGGCAACCAAAATGGTTTGGGGGGTTGCAGCACATGACCTATGAGAAGCAGCTGAGGGATTTGGGTTTGTTTAGTCCGCAGAAGAGAAGAGTGAAGGGGGATTTGAGAGCAGCCTGCAACTTCCTGAAGGGGGGTTCTAAAGAGGATGGAGAGAGGCTGTTCTCAGTAGTGACAGATGCAGAACGAGGAGCAATGGGCTCAAGTTACAGTGGGGGAGGTCTAAGTTGTATATTAGGAAAAACTATTTCCCTAGGCGGGTGGGGAAGCCCTGGGATGGGTTCCCTAGGGAGGGGTTGGAATCTCCAGCCCTAGGCTATGTCTGGACTGCAAGCCTCTTTCGAAAGGAGAATAATTCCTGTCCACATTGAGAGGAGGATGAACCAGGTAACAGAATCCTACTGCAAGTTCATACAGTCCTGGGGACCTCGGCTGGCGAAGCTCCGCATCACTGTTGGTTCATGCAGCAGCTGGGCTGAGAGCCTGAAGGTACGTCTAAACTACATGGCTCCGTCAACAGAGCCATGTAGATTTGTTTGTTTGGCAAAGGGAAATTAAGCCGTGATTTAAATAATCGCGGCTTCATTTAAATTTAAATGGCTGCCGTGCTGAGCCGACAAACAGCTGATCAGCTGTTTGTCAGCTCAGCGTGCTAGTCTGGACACTCCCGCGCCAACATAAAAGCCCTTTATCGACCTCCCCGGTAAACTTCATCCTACGAGGCATAACGGGGAGGTCGATAAAGGGCTTTCAGGTCGGCACGGGAGCATCAGGACTAGCACGCTGAGCCGACAAACAGCTGATCAGTATCGATCCCCCAGTATCGATGTGTGTCAGTCAGTGATGGAGTGTGTGTTTATGTTCCAGACAGTGTGTGTGTGTGTGTGTGTGTGTGTGTGTGTGTGTGTGTGTGTGTGTGGTTCCCCACCCTGCTCTGCAGAGATGCCATACATGGACAGAAGGGAGAGAGGTGAGGGGAATGCCTTAACATCAGCACCCCCTGTGTCTCCCCTCCCCACACAACACACACTGTGCACAGCAAGCAGGATGATGCTGGAAGATTAGGGGATCAGATGCATTGGACATTCCAAAGCCGTTGGGAACTGAGTTCCCTGAAGTTCTTGTAATGTCAAAAAGGGGATCGATACTTTGTTCACGTGGAAGTTTAGAAATCTTCCTGGCCAGTGTTTGGAGTTGCAGGTCCAGAGATCACATTGACCTGGGAGCTTTAGCCAGGTCAAGTAATTTTGAACTGGGGCTCAAGTAATTTTCTTCTTACTATAAAACAGAATTGACATTGGTTCCATTTTGCTATTATTCTCCCAGATACCTATATAATACATCAGAGGACCAGAGATTCGCACCGAGATCAGAAAATCTGTCTCCATTATTTTTCTCTGAAACGAGACATTCCCTTTTTATTATTATTTTGCTTTTCCTTTTGGGTCAACGGTTCTGCATTCTCCATACTCTTCCCTTTTTTAACCACTTGTTTTCCATAATTTTCTCCCTTGAGGTTTGCAGCAAGACTGTCCGTATACAGTTGTTCTTTCCCTTTCTCAAAACCCATAGTAACTTTCATGCATGTGATAATTTTCAATTCCCACATCAGAAACATCAAGGGAGTTTGCCTCATCTCAGCGGAAGGAGAAATAACCAACCAAAAGAGACATTCTTTTCTGTGAATGGGAAGAAAAGCAAATTCACCAGGATCCAGGCTTCCAGGTAGGAACTCAAAGCTCCATTGACTGAGATAATTGAAGACTTAGAGTATGTTTACACCATGGCGTTATTTCAAAATATCTAATTTTGAAATAGTTATTTCAAAATACCTTCTTTTGAAATAAGGCATCTACACACAAAATGCATTGCGGAATAGCTTTTTGCTATTTTGAAATAGCTCAATCACACTGATTGGACGTTGAATCGCATTTGAGGCCAGCCGGAACTGGTTCCGGCAGGGCATCAGGTCAGAAGTTACCTAGTGGCCAGGGCGGCCAGCAGGGCACCCTGGGAAGGGCTGGAGGCCCCCTATTTCGAAATAAGCATCTACGCAGCACTTATTTCGAAATCGCAGTTTTGAAATTGGTGCTATTCCTCATGGAATGAGGTTTACAATTTCAAAATAAGCCCTCCGCTACTTTGAATTAATTTTGAAATAACTTTCCTAGCGTCCACACAAGACGACTGCTATTTCAAAATAACTTTGCTGTGTAGACATACCCTAACAGTTGTAGAGGAGACTGGAAAATGTACTGCAAAGATTCTAATCTTACCTCAGTTTCTTAAGTTGACTTTCCCCTTTAGTGTAGACCAGGCCAAAGGATATATATCTCTCTTTGATTGAACAACACAGGTGGAAAGTTAATTTCCCATTTCCTGAAGTCAAAATACACCTTCCCTATTAAAATTCCCAACTTCTGACAAACACAGACTATGGACACCATCGCTGCCCACCCTGCCTAATCGCCACTTGTGGACTTACTCTCCCTCAACGACTCTTGTGTATTGGCTGTGGTGTTTGTATTCTATTGTTTGCCATGGGAAGTTTGAGGCTCATAACAAGTTGAAACAAGAAAGTTCTCTCTGGGCTCTGTGTGCATGTTTTCTTGATTTCCAGTTTTCTGTCATATGTTAGGGTACAGTTAGACTGCGAGGATTTATTGAAAAAAGATAAGCAAAAAAACCCAGAAGAGCAAATGCGTTCTCTCGACATGGCAGAGATTTTTCGGGATACTTCTGGTATCCCGAAAGTCCCCTTCAGTCTAGCCATACTCTTACGTTACACCAGAGTCAATGCACCGACGCCACTCGCAGCCTAGGCATACGGTGCGTGAGTGCGTCATACATCAGGGGATGAAGAGATGATGGTAGGATATGTCACAAATTGTGTAGGGGGAAAGCAGATTTAGGGGCTCTAATATCTTTGCTTTAAGAGCACGGCTGTTGCTGGACCAGAGAGACCCAAGATTTTGGAGGTTTAATCTGAACTACTTCTCTTTAAACATGTCTGTATTTTATGGCTCATAAAATTTGGAGAAACAAATTTCTATATCTCTGTCTCTAAGGGTATGTCTATACTACTAAGTTAGTTCGAACTAACGGACGTTAGTTCGAACTAACTTTCATAGGCGCTACACTAGCGATCCGTTAGTTCAAATTTAATTCGAACTAACGGAGTGCTTAGTTCGAACTAGGTAAACCTCATTCCACGAGGATTAAGCCTAGTTCGAATTTACTAGTTTGAATTAAGGGGTGTGTAGCCCCTTAATTTGAACTAGTGGGAGGCTAGCCCTCCCCAGGTTTCCCTGGTGGCCACTCTGGCCAACACCAGGGAAACGCGTCTGCCCCCCTCCCGGCCCCAGACCCCTTAAAGGGGCACGGGCTGGCTACGGTGCCCGTGCCAGGTGTAAGCCTGCCAGCACCCAGCCAGCGGACCCTGCACCTGGCACAGATCGAGCCACCCACCCGATGCCCCCCAGCCCTCCCCCTCTTCACGGGCCCGGGC